ACCCGCAACATACGGAATAACCACTGGTTTGGGTCTGGGTTTGGGGTCTTCATTTTCACCTGAAGGTTGCATGGAGTCCTGTCTGTGTTTCCTGTCTGCTTTCAGGAAAGCTCAGTCAGGATAACCACACTGCTCCAGGGCCTGTCGTGTGTGTCAGTTTCAAACCATTAAATTCAGTTTCAATTGAGTGAAAATCATTTTCAAACCAATGCATTCAATTTCAAATTATGCGCATTCACATTCAATCAGAGCAATTCAAATTCACTTCCTGCTGGCACAAGATTTATCCCATACCTTTTCCCTTTTTTACAGTTGTTGTCTGAGGCAGCACCCGACAGGATGAGGATTGCTCATGCYGACATACTAACTTATAAATTGGAAAGAAGGTTCCCAGCAGAGCTCTCTAAGCCGTGGGAGGATGGTACGTGGGTGAAATCAGGCCGTGTTGAAAGCGGTCAGTGTATGTGTATATCTAAAAGGGATGCAAATGTTTTTCAGAGCCACCAAACCTCCACATCATTGGAAACCTGCCATTCAACGTCTCAACCCCCCTCATTATTAGGTGGCTGGAAAATATAGCCAACAGAACCGGGCCGTTCACGTATGGACGCACTCAACTGACGCTSACCTTCCAGAAGGAGGTGGTAGAGGTGGGTGGACGCGTTCTGCTTTTAGTCATTGTGCCTAGAGTTATAATGATAATACTTTAACTAAACCTTACTACACAGCAGCTTGTAATAAAACTGTTAATTGACAGAAATTGTTCTTTTTATACCCAGAGGTTGACGGCCAGCACAGGCAGCAAACAGAGGAGCCGTCTCTCCATCATGGCTCAGTATCTCTGCACCGTCCACAAGTGCTTCCTCATCCCTGGACAAGCCTTTGTTCCCAAACCAAAGGTAACCTCGTTGTTTACCTCGTAATCTGGCAAGTCTGCGTTTCGTTCAGCCGTTTTAACTCGAGCTTGTTTGATCTAATGAAGTTTGTGCTGATAAAGTTTATTTACAAAGGCTTCACTCTGTGTACATATTCACATCCCCTAACAGTTGGAACAGAAGCATCTTTAGTGTCAGTGTTTGAGAGGTGGCAGCTTGCAGATCCCCCCCCCCCCCCCCCCCCCCCCCCCAGGTAACTCTGGGACCTCCTTATGCCTGCTCCTCATCCGGTCCCACATTCCTGTCAAGAGTCCCTCATCTTGTTCCCATTACTCATCCTTCCCTCGCTTCTCTTGCTCGTAGGCTTAATTTGGTGTTGAATCAGTGTTGTCTCCCTTCCGTCTTTGGACCTTTTTCTGGGTTGTAATGATGCCTGGTGGGTATTTGAGATGTGGCACGATCGCACTGTGCCTTGTAATGAGAGCCTTGTTCTTTTTTCTTTTTCTTTATTTTTTTTTGAGGCCCAATATTTCTGCCTGTGTCTTCTCACTCGTGCGAGTGCATCGGTGGCAATGGAAAGAGGTTCTGTTTTATGCCACATGAGGCTTTTTCTTTTAACTTTCTATTTTAGGATTTATGAGAGGACTGAGAWCCCATAAAAGTACTGCTGCAAAATTTTATACACAAGTGTTGTCTTCACTGAGATAATGTTTAGGTCATTTGAAATGCTCTGAGGGTACTTTTAAAAWTTTGTACAAATAAAAGCGTGTTTTTGTTTTATGGAATTAGAGWATAAGTGTGAGGTGGTTGTCAGACAGGCTGTTGGTCCCTATAAGGGTGTTGTGCTTCCTTAGGTCTACTGTTGTTAAATATTTAATCTTTTGCAAAGAGTAAAAGGCTGCAGAGTGAACGAGATCAGTTCTGATTGTTCATTCTTTTAGAAGAGTTGGTTTCCAATGATTATTTCATCACATTCTGCTGTCGTTTTATTTTTTATTTTTTTGGCATTTGTTTTCTCCTGAGTGTCTCATTTTTCTTTCTTTGTCAAACTTCAGCCTAATGGGTTGTGAAAGTTTTCGTCTGTAATTGTGCGTACATGATGGCACACACATGATCAATGATGCATAAAGATGTTTGCTCAAACGTTCACGCTGCTTCTTTTTCTCCATACGGTATATACCCAGTGCTTTTCCTCATGTCATGGTCATTGGTTTGGGCGAATTATTGATTTTCAAACAAACACAGTCTCACCTGAGTTCAAAGAAGTAGAAATTTATCAGCGGATCAGTGTTGTAGACTGGTCTTGGTCTTGAGACTGGTCTCATTTGTACTCAGTCTTGTCTTGGTCTTTGACATTGAGGACTCTGGATTTCATTTCCAGACCAGTCAAGACCACATCTATAGAAATATCACTAAATTGCCATAATTTTGTCCAATTTATTTGTTAACATCCTTGCTTTC